TTTTTTTTTTTTTTTTTTCTCTTCCTCTCTTGCTTTCACAATCCGTTCTCCCCAGCCTTCTCCGCCGGTGCCTCCGGAGCCGCCTGCGGTGCCAGCTCGCAGGGAAATTGGCAGCGAGCGTGGCGCAGGGATCCTCCCGCAGCTGACGGAGCCCCGCCAGGCGCAGGCAGCCCTTCTGCCAGCCACCAGCCTTGGCACGGGGGGCCGGGGGGCCGCGGGGGGCTGCCGACGCTTGGCAGACCTTCCCCGGCACCGTGTGCCCCAGCCGCTGCCGCCGCTCCGCTGCCAAAAGCCAGACAAGGGGGAGGAAAAGGGGAAAACGGCAGAGAGAGGATCTGGCTTCGCCATGCCCGGTGGCGGGGGACCCGCTGGGGGCCCCTTCCCTTCGCTGCGGCCAGCTGGGCGATGTCCTCGTCCCTCGGCGAGGGCAAGGGGCCTGGCCGCGGTGTCAGTGTCACACGGGGAGGCTCAGCCCCGTCTGTCTCCGCTCGTGCCCTCAGCCCAGCGGTGAGAGCCCATCCCGGGGATGGCAAGCGCCGATGCAGACGGGCTCGGTGATGCTGCGTGGCGAGCGGGGCTCCCGCAGACACACCTCTTACCCAGCATCCGTCTGCCACGTAGGGGGGCCCGGGAAATTGGGAAGGGGAGAGCAGAGGAGGGACTTCTGGCGATGGGTGGGGGGTTTTGGGGTGTCCTCCGGCCGTGCGTCGCTCTGCACGGCCGCCTCAGCCTCGTGCAACACGGCATCCCCACTCTGTGCCAAAATCCTGGCCCCGGCGGTGCAGTCGTGCCAAGGCTCCGTCCTGGCCAGCCATCAGCATTGCAGCCATCCCTGCCTCGACGGCTTTTCTTCCCCAAATTCATGGGTTTGGTGTCTTTTTGAAAGGGGAAGCGGGAGTGTGGCTTGAGCACCTGCTATAGCCCAGGTGCTCCCAACCCTGATCCCCCAGGAGGGTCCCCAAGGCCGAGGGACACCGGTGGGGACAGGCAAGAAGGAGGCAAGGGACAGGCTTCCAGCTCAGCGCCCCGCTCAGCGTCACCCAAAATAAATAATTTACTGAGGGCCAGTAAATTTCTAAATCTCTTTATTGAGAGGTGCAGGGGTGCTGGGACTGCCCCACTGCCCTCTTCCCAGTCACATGGCACAGCCCCATGGCAGAGCACTGGGAGCACTGGCCACGGCACCCGCCTGCCATCCCCGTTTAACAGGTTTACCCCCTCATCGGGGATGTCCTTAATGGGGTTGGCAGGAGACACCACGATCCTTCCATGGGGCAGGATAGGGCTGTGTGGGGGTCACACTGGCCCCATCCCGGACTCCTGCCACGCAGCACCTGGTGTCCCTGGGCGGTGACATGTCCCAGCCCCGAGAGCCACTGGCCAGGGATGTGGTGGCTCCGAGGATGGCGGTGACAATCGACGCCATAGGAAGAGCTCTGGGAGCCGTCCCGGCGTGCCCCTCTGCCTGTGCCCCTGGCTCCCGGCGGCCGTCCCCCGGCCTGCCCGTGTCACACGTGCGCCTGCCATTTCCTCAAATAAGCAGCTAATCTCCATCAATCATAATTTCGCGCAATTATCATAATAGGGCCATTTTGCACTTATCCTCGCCACGTGACGCAGGAGGCACTTACGGCTCCACTTCATGCCGAGTGTCTCCGAGCTGCTCCCATCCCTGGGGAGTCCCGATGGCAATCGCGTCCCCTGCAAGCCCGCGGGGACAGTCCTGTCCCCTGCCACCCCGGTGCCGGCAGCGGCTCTGGCAGCAGTTACTCGTGTCGGGTGGGTGCAGGCACGGGGGGACGGTAGTGGGTCCCTGTCCCCTGGCTTGTGCCTTCCCGCCGCTGCGGCAGCAGCACAGGGGTTAAACCCCAAAACGGGGACAGTTAATCTTGTTTTCCCCACCATATGGCCCTGCTGGCCTGGCTCCCGCTTGCGCTGATGCCACGCGGCATGTGGCGGGGGACACGGCCAGCAGCACGGGCTCTGACCCTCTGCTGCCAGTGGGGAGCAGATTAGAGGGGCCGGGACGCGACGAGGGCCGCGGGTGGGAGATTAGGGCGGGCAGATGGATGGAGATCAAAGGTTTCATTCCACCTTGTTTACTACTCCCTCCTCGGCGGGGACCCTGGCAGGGGCTCTGGCCCAGCCCCCCTTGGGCTGGGGGAAGATGGGGCTGGGGACACGGTGCCCACTGCCTTGGGGTGTCCTGGTGGGGACGGACGGGCTCCCCCCACGCCGTGCTCCAATTTCAGCCCAAGCAGGAGCCCCCGGTGCCCCCGTCCTGTCTCACCACGGAGCACCAGGTCGGAGCCACCGGCAGCCACAGCACTTTCCCTGAGCATGAAGCTCCCCGTAACCCAGCGGTGTTTGCGGTGTTTACACCACCATAGTAATTACTTTCCTTTTTTTTTTTTTTAAATAAATACGGATGTTGCCACAAGTAAACTCTAATGTAATAAAAGCTTTCTGCTGGATCCATAATTAATCAGCGAGCTGTGTAACGTGGCGGGGAGCAAGCGGAAAACCCTCCTGCCGGCGCGGGCTGCTGGGCTCACACCCAGCTGGGAGGGAGGTGAGAAGCCGTGGTGGCAGCTTGGGGACATCCCAGCACCCTGGGGACCGCTGCAGCAGCCCCATGAGCCTGGAGCCAGGGGGGGTCCGTGGGTGGGCAGGGCTGCGGTGCACCCAGGTCTTGGGTTTTGGGGTGCCCGGCTGCTCCGCGGCAGTCACAGGCACCAGCTGTTTTGCTCCCAGCTGTGACGGCACATCTGGACTGACCCCCTCTCCAGCGTGGTGTCCCCATCACCCCGATACAGAGAGCAGGGCCCGGCGCCACGCGTCCCTCCCCGTGGCGCAGGGTGAGCCGGTGCTGCCGCTGCTGGATAAAGCATAACCCGCTCCCCCAGCACTGGCAGTGCCGGGGGGCAGCTCCCTCCTTCCGGCCCCGGGGAGCAGCCCCGGCAGCCCCCAGGATGGCCAGTGGTAGCCGGGTGCTGCTCACAGCCGGGGCTGAGCATCGTCTCCGGGGACGTGGCCAAGTCCAGATGGCCGGTGGGCACCATGTGCCGGGGGACGGAGCGGCAGAGGGTGGCTCGGGGTGGACATCTGCCGTGCACGCAGCCAGCTGGCCCCGCAGCCTGCCACGGTCAGGGGGGAGCAGGGCTCTGTCACCCCCCCTCAGCCCGGGGAGCGCCTCCTGTCCCTGCACAGCCTGGAGGGGCCACACAGTCGCAGTGGCACACGCCTCCGTGTCACAGCCCTGTCCCCACCCTGGGCACCCTGTCCCCACCAGACCCTGGACCACCGCAGGGGTGATGGCACCCCGCTGTCATCAGGGACCCCCCCTCTGCTCCCCCCACCCCAGGAGGGTTAATCCCTGCAGCCTGTGGGGGTCGGGGGGAGGCCGGTGACAGATGGCAAGTGCGAACAGGAGAATGAAAGCGATGGCGGCGGGGCAGGGGCGGGCAGCGGCAGAAAGCGGGCACATCCGCAGGGCAGCCCGAGGAGTCCTCGCTTTTTTGTAAGAGAGGGCTCAACCCCCACGCTCCTACAGCTAAAGCAAGAAACGAAAGAAGCTGGGGATGCTCCCACCAGCTCCCAGCACGACTAAACCGCTGCAAATCGCGGTGGAGCTGGGAGCTGTGAGGCTGAACCCCACAGCAAACGCAGCCGACCCCACTGCCAGCACCCCTCCCGAGAAGGATGGGCTTCATGCTTACTTCATCCCAGAGAGGATTCCCACTGTCCAGCTCCCTGCCCCTTGCCCTACTCACATCAAATCTCAGAGCAACAGCAGGAAAACCCCTCAGCCCGTCATTTCCAAGCTACAGAGGATAAGGTTTGGCC